CTACGCCCGCCGCGGGCGCTCAGCGGCACGGAAGGCGAGGCCTCGCGCCCCCCCCACTACGCGGCGCGCGGTTACCTTCGCGCCATCGCGCCCCCGCGCCGCCCCCCTGGGGAGGGGCAGCTGCTCCGGCCCGGACCGCGATGCGCGACGCGCGGTTATCTTCGCGCCCGCTGGGGGAGGAGCACCACTCGAGCAAGCCTGTCGGCTCCTCGGCGCTGTGCAGGGCACGGGTGAACAATCCATCTCCAGCCAGACAAAACCGTGCTACATAGTAACAAAATTCTGAGACTCGGAACATGCATGATCCCTCAACTCGGAGAAGGAGCGGAAGGGCGACTTAGGCTATCAGGCCTCGTAACTGGGCAGCTCGGTCCTCAGCAGCGCAGTGCAATGAGGCAACTCGCAACGTTGCAAGATCTCTAGGGACTCAAGACCTTGGCAAACGTACTGTTCGAATCACCAGTTCTCAAAACACAATGCTGATCAGTTTCACCTGAAGTGAGATTCGAGCCTTCTGAGAACGCGCGCGACCCCAATCGGTCCGAAAGGGCGGCACGATCACCCCCGAATCACGTCAAAAGTCGGTTTGGCGGCGAGGTTGTCGCCGTTCCCGCCCCGTCGCCCCTTTATCGCCGCCCGTCGTCTGGGCCTGTCTGTCGGTCTGGCGGCTCTGTTGCCGCCGTCTCCGCCCCGTCGCCGCCTCGTCGCCGCCCGTTGTCTGGACGTGGGTGGCGGTCTGGGCTATGATGTCGCCGTCGCCACCCCGGCGCCGCCCGTCGTCTGGACCTGCATTGCTTGGCACTGGTTTACAAGACAAGGCATTGTGTTGCACTGCATTGTTTCGTATCGTTTTTCGTTGCTTCGCATTGTTTTGCATTGCCATGCCATGCGTTGTTTTGTTCATCGTCGTTTTGTATTGAGAGGCACTGCTTTGTATTACCGCGCATCGCTTCATATCATTGCGCATCGTTTGCGTTGCATTGCGCTACATCAGTTCTCTTTATCTAGAAAAAATGAGGCTTTACCCCCCCGGGGTCAACGGTTCACCTTTTCGTATTGCAATTTACATACGATTCTGCCCCATCGCCCATCCTGAAAATGAATCCATACCATCCCAACCCAACCGGTATCACGCCCCCCCCATCCCCTGCCAAAAACACTATGCGCGCACACTCGTTGATCACGAATCACACGTTTTCCAAGAAACCCTGGCAAAAATTGGGGAGAACTGCGCACGCGCGCGTCGTCGCGCTCGCATGCAGAAATCCGTCCAAAACCTTCGGTGTCGTACTTCAAAATCGAAGATTCTGGAATCATATAAGAACACATGGTTTCGCAACAACGATGTTCAAGCAAAGCTTGCGTTCACGCTCTAGCAAGTTCTTAAGAAAACCATCGGTTGTTCAACATGTTGCTAAAATGCTACCAAACGGGCTTCGCGCGCGCATGTCGAAATCGTTCGAACGCCCTTGCGCGCGTGCTGTCGCAAGAATGTGTTTGCCAAAAACGGGACGAAGTGCGCGCGCGCCGTCGCGCGCGCATGCCGACATCCTTCCACAACTGTAAGTTTCGCAAGGATTTCAAAACCGAGTGTCCCGAAAACATGAAGACCATATGGTTTCGCAACATCAGTTTTCCAAATTGCTTGCGCTCACGCTCTGGCGAACCCTAAGAAAACCATAGGTTTTCCAACATGTTCACGGAATGTTGCCAAACGGACCTCTCGCGCCGCATGCCGAAATCAATCGAACGCCCTTGCGCGCGTGCTGGGATGGCACGACCCGTGTCAAATATTACCATGCGGCCGCTCTCGCGCGTCGGCCGCGCGCGCATGTCGAATTTCTTCCAAAACCCTCACACCGACGCGAAGACGCCGTCATCGTCGTCGACGTGATCAGCACCAGCGCCGGCACCAGCCGTGCCGTCGTCGCTGTCAACGTCTCCACCAGCATCGCCACGATCATCATCGTGTCTACCGTTGGCAACGTTGCCATGATACCGCGCCGCTCAAGTCGCCGACTCGCACTGAAGTGCCCACTGGGAGGTGCCCAGCGGTCAGCGCCACCGCGGCCGCGTCGGTCGCGCCAAACTAGCTGGCCACTGCGCGCACGTGTATACGCGGGCTGACGCGGCCGCAGAGATGCACTAGCCAACGCCAAGCACTCATCACAATCGCCGCCGCATGGGCTTTGCAAACTAAGTTGCGGATGGGTGGGTGGGATGTTTGCAAGAGCATGGAATGTGTCAACTCTTTGTTAAAATCACTTGCGCCACATATATTGCACCACGCATAATGCACCACGGATCTCACCACATTGATTGCATCACATAATTCTGCACCGCCTATTCTGTTGTCTGCAAATGAATTCGGATTTACCACCACCCCAAGGGCTGGGATGATCGGCACACACTGGGGATGCTCAATTTACACACGCTTCTGCCAGATCGTTAATTCTAAATGTGTAATCGATGGAAAAAAAACATCAAACACAATGTAGACCCCAGGAACGGGGCAATATATAGGAACAGACAAAAAACACATAGCCAAGAAAGAGGCACTCTATACGAACTTACGTAGGAAACACGCGATTCGATCCACAGGAGAGGGACAATCTACAGGAACATACGTAAAACACAACAGGATTCGAGCCACAAGAGAGGGGGGCAATCGATAGGAAAGTAAGTAAAACACATTGAATTCGAATACAAGGAAAGAGAGAGAGAGAGGCAATCTTCAGGAAGATACGTAAAACACATAGGATTCGAGCCCCAGGAGAAAGGCAATATATATGAGCATACGTAAGACACACGGGTTGCGAGCCCCAGGAGAGCGGCGTGTATAGGAACAGGACACATAGGATTCGAGCCACAGAAGAGGGGTAATCGATAGGAACGCATGTAAACACACACGGTACCGGCAGTCTGCCGGGCAGCCCCCGGCCTGGGAGACGCCTCCCCCCGGACCCCCCTTCGGAGCCAAAGCACTACCATGAGCAAATCAAACCAGGACACCATACAGTAGGATGCAAGATCCTTGGAGGGCCAGTTGGAAGCTTTTCGAGCGGGACGCGGCCGACGAAAGCGGCCAAGGATGGATCGAGGAGGCAAGGATGCAAGTGTACGCTTGGCAAAGTTGCCCATGCTTACCATGCGAGTCGACTGTAGTGAGCGCTGCCGGACCGTGCATATCGAGCCAAAACACGGCATGAGCGCTGCCCGCAGATTCCGGGCCGCCTGAACACCATACAGTAGGAGCTCGACCACAAGAAACCTTCCACAAGAAACCCAACCCTGAGACCCCGGGGCGTCCATTGATTGTAAGTGTAGAAACGTCACGCTTTGCACAGCAATACCATCGAAACCCGAGAAACCCAGGGCACCCTGGAGGCAAGCACGGTGTGTCTTAACATGGGCTTCCGCTGTAATGCGTCGCACTTCTGGACCAAACCGAGCCAGAACATCACAGCGAGCGCTGCCGGCACGCGCCGCCAGGCCAGCGAGGCGCCTCCCCCAGGCCCCCCCGTGTGAAGATTCCGGTGAGGGGAAGCCTTTGAACAACATTCGAATCCTCTTGCGAGACGCTTCTAGGGAAAGCTATGATTGGGGCCTTTTGGCCCTCTTGGGGGCCCTAGGGGGGCCTCAGGACGGCTCCAGATGGCCTCAAGACGGGCCAGGACGGCCCCAAGACGGCCCAAGATGGCCCCCGGGCCCAGAGGCCCCAAACACAGCCCAAGATGCCTCTGGAGGGGAAAACAAAAAAAACAAAAACAAAAAAAAAAACAAAAACGGGAGGTAATAAAAAAAATGATTTCCGTATGGGGTCGCCATGTCCTCGCCTTCTCGACTTTTCCGACTCTCCAGGGCCCCATGACGACCCAAGCAGCCCCCAACCCCAAGACGGCCCCAGAGGCCCCCAGGAGGGCCCCGAAACGGCCCTGGAGGGCCCCAAGACCCAAAAAGGCCCCCAAGACGGCTCTAGAGGCCCGCAAAGCGGCCTAAGAAAACCTCAACAAAGCTCCAAGGCGGCCCCGAGAGGCACCCAAGACGGCCTCCGAAGGGGCCAGACGGCGCAAGAGCGCCCCACGACGGCCCACGAGGCCCCCAGAAGGCCCCAAGCCCCAAGCAGCCCGCAAGGGCCCCCAAAAGAGGTCCCCAAGAAGCCCCCAAACGGCCCCAAGAGGCCACCAAGAGGCCCGCGCAATTGTATACAAATGGCGCGGGGTTGCTCTGCTCATCGGAATTTGAACTTGGCGTTGCCTTGTGCCGACACGCGGTGAATGCTCAGTGCCCTCGTAGGCATTCGCACGCTCGTCCCAGCGCTGAAACAACCAAGAGGACCGCGCAATTGTGTACGGATGGCGCGCTATTGCTATGCTCATCGTTGCTTCGCGTTGCCTTGTCCTAACACGCGGTGAATGAACATTGCCCTCGTGGACATCCGCACGCTCGTCCCTGCGCTGGAACGGGAAGGGCGCATCTGCCCCCCTGTGGCGCTGGCAACGCCACGGGCCGGGCAGAACAACACAGCAGACCAGCGCGGCAGACGAGCAGGGCAAACCACTGAACGCCCAGTCTTTCCGTGCTCCAGACGTGCACCCCGCGAAGCGAGAGGAATCCACGTCTGGAGGTGACGTGCTGCGGGAGGCAGATCCGCGGATGCTGCAACGCATCGTCCCTGCGCTGGAACGGGGGGCGGCGCATCCGCCCCCCGTGGCACAGGCAGCGCCCTGGGGCGGGCAGAACGACGCGGCAGACCAGCGCGGCAGGCGAGCAGGGTACACCACCCAACGCCCAGTCTTGATGTGCACCGCACGTGCACCCCGCGAAGCGAGAGGAATCCACGTCTGGAAGGAACGTGCTGCGGTAGGCAGGTCCGCGGATGCTGTATTGACACGTTTTCGATTACTCCAGATATAACAAAAGTGTGATGTATTCGATTAATTTCCATGGTTGTGTCTCCCCCCCTTACCCTCTCCTCATCCGTTGACCAGAGGTGGTGA